CCCCCCCCCCCCCCCCCCCCCCAGGGCAAGCAAGGTCCGGCCACACCCGGCGTTTAGGTCGACTGGCACTGTGGTCGAACTTCCGTGAAATCAAGCTGAAACGCAGCTCTTCCCGAGGCGTGGGCCGCCGATCTCTTGCGTAATGCTGCCTGTTGCTCTCTGCCAGAACTTCTCCGATACCGGGGGACGGCGGGGGGCGGGGAGCGGCGTGGGAGTGCATATTCCAGGGGTGCCCCGCGGATCTCCCGGGCACACCAGGACACGGCCCCGCCCTCCTATACACCGGGCATGGATGTGCACCTGGGCCTGTTGGCCACGTTTCCCCGTTCCTGCCCCCTCCCCCCGCGGTCCGCGCAGCCGGCGCGCGAGCCATCCCCGCCGGTCGTCACCAGCGAGTGCACGCCCGGCCGTGCCCTGGGGGTCTCTAGTCACGAAGCAGGCCCAGACGCGCGTAGACGCCGGTCACCGCCGTACCACACCCGGACCAAGTGAGTCCTAGCTCCTCGCCTTGAGTGGGCGGTGCGGCAGGGCGCGGCAGGGCGCGGGAGGGGGGCCAGAGCCATGGATAGCTCCCTCCGAGATGGGCCAGCTCGCCGGCAAGCGTGATCACGCGCCCCACATATAGGCCACCTGTGCCATTTAGCTGGCCACCGTTTAGGGTGGCGTTCCGTTGGCAGCGGCATTCCGATGCTTGTGGGCTTTTTCCCCCTCATGCTGCGACAAAAAATAGTACAGGGTCTTATTTGGGGAGGGGAAGGTAGGTATATACATGGCCGATCTAGGGGTCTCGCTGGCACAGGCAAGGGAAAGGAGGAGGAGAGGAGGAAGAAAAAAGAAGGGGGGGGGAGGAGGCGCGGAGGAGGCGGCGACAGGGCGGCAGCGGGGCGGTGCCGGGGTGAAGTGGTGGCAGGGGCGTGCATCGCCGGCTGAGCGCACCGCGGCGGTCGCTCCTTCCGCCCGTTTGAGGAGGCTGGTGGGGTGGGATGGGGTGGGGTAGGGGGAGTGCACGGGACGTCTATGGGAGGTATTCACGCGGGGCGCACACACACACACACACCCTCGGTCCGGAGGAAGCCCCGACTAGGAGATATGCCGGAGGAGGGTCTTTCTGACACTGGGGGACAGCACCGGGGAGAGTCCTTCTTCATTACTCGGCAGGCTTGTCGGTCTTCTCCACAGCCGGGGCCGGGATCTCGGTCTCGGCAGGGGGCGTGCTTCCCACGGGGGTCAGGGGATCCAGGGGCAGGGAGCCGCTCTTGATGAAGTCGTCAAAGCCAACCACCTCGGGGAAGGGCCGCTTGCCGAGCAGCTCCACCATGTCCTCCTTGCCGAGAACCTGGAAGTTGTTTGCGGAGCAGGTGAGCATTTGAGAGTAGGGAGAAGCAGAAGGAAAGAAGGAGGGGGGGCCCGCGGATCAGGAAAAAAAAAAAACCAGGACGGACCTCACGCTCGAGCAGGCGCTCGGCCACACGCTCGACATTGTCCTTCTGCTCGCGCAGCAGGGCCAGCGTATCCTCGTAGGACTCCTTGACCAGACGGCGGACCTCCTCATCAATCGAGGCAGCAGTCTTCTCGGAGTAGGGCTTCGCACCAGGGGAGCCATCCTGAGTGCTGAGGCTGAGATGGCCGACCTGGGGGTGAAACAAGAAAGAAAGAAAGAAGAAAACGGGCGCTTTGGTCAGTGGCCACAGGGGGAGAGGCAGCCCGAACGCCATGTGTACATGCATGGGCACGAAATGGTGTGATATATACGCAATGTATGTATGCGTGCATGTGCTTGCGTACCACATCGCTCATGCCCAGGCTGGCCACCTGGTTGACCACGATCTTGGTCACACGCTGGAGATCATCCAGCGCACCGGTGGTGATGCGACCAAAGAAGACCTCCTCGGCGGCGCGACCAGCCAGCAGGACACACACCCGGTCACGGAATTGGGCCGTGGTCATGATGGCGCGCTCCTGCGGAAGGTACTGCGCGTAGCCGAGAGCCGCCGAGCCGCGCGGCACGATCGACACCTTCAGCAGGGGGTCCGCATGCTCCAGGAACCAGCCAACCACGGCGTGGCCCGCCTCGTGGTAGGCCACCGTGCGACGCTCCTCCGGAGAGAGGATGCGCGTGCGGCGCTCCAGGCCACCGATGACACGCTCGATGGCCTGCTCAAAGTGAGCACGCGACACCGAGGTAGCCTGGTGCCGAGCCGCAATCAGGGCCGCCTCATTGCATACGTTGGCGACATCGGCACCGGAGAAGGAGGGAGTCAGGGTGGCAAGGCTGGGCTCGAAGAAGGGAGGAGGGGCGGGGTAGAGGGGAATAGGACCAGGGATTGTCAGTATGTGAGTGTCAAATGACGAAGACGGAGGAGAAGAGAGCACAGGAGCATGCCGGGGGAAGAGAGGAGGATGGCCGGGGGAAAAAAAACCCCAAACAACGAGGGGGACTGGGGCCAATCAAATGCGGGTTGGCCGCCCGGCCAGCAAACGTACAGCTTGGCCAGCTCCTCCACCGCCTCGGGCTCGGGGTTCTCCAGCTTCAGTGGCTTGAGATGTACGCGGAAGACATCCCGCCGGCCCACCAGATCCGGGTGGTCAATGGTGATCTGCCGGTCAAAGCGCCCCGGGCGCTTGAGCGCATCATCCAGAGCCTCGGGGATGTTGGTGCCGGCAAGGACAATCACATGGCTGGGGAGTGGGGGGGGGGGGGGGGGGGGAAGAGAACAGGCGCGTCGAAGCGCATGTCAGGAGGAGGGTCGAACAAAGGGCGATGACAAGAAGCCAGGAACCACGGTGTGCATATGTGTGCACGTACGTGTCGGTGTTGAAGCCGTCCATCTCCACCAGCAGCTGGTTGAGGGTGTTCTCACGCTCGCTGTTGCCGCCACCGTAGCCGCCCTTGGAGCGGCTCTTGCCAATGGCATCAATCTCATCAATGAAGATGATCGAAGGAGCCAGCTTACGGGCCTGCTCGAAGAGATCGCGCACGCGGGCCGACCCCAGGCCGACGAACATCTCATTGAACTCCGACCCGGAAATCGAGAGGAAGGGCACACCGGCCTCGCCAGCAGTGGCACGGGCCAGGAGCTAGAAGGAGGGGGAGGGGGGGGGGCGCGCGCGCGGAAGACAGGGCGAGAAATGTTCGTGTCAGGCTGAGAACATAGGGGGAGAGAGAGGTTGGGGGGGGGGGGAAAGAAATAAACACGAGGAGAAGGACGAGCAGTGGCAGCAACGGAGGCGGAGGCACCGGCAACAGCGGCATTGGGGCGAGGGACTAGCTGGCGTACCGTCTTACCCGTACCCGGGGGGCCACTGAGAATGGCACCGCGGGGAATCTTTGCACCGAGCTTGGCATACTGGTGGGGGTGCTTGAGGAACTGGACAATTTCCATGATCTCAGTCTTGGCCTCGTCACAGCCGGCAACATCCGAGAAGCGAGTCTTGGTCTTGGTAGTGACGTTATACACCTTGGACAGGTTCTTGGACATGCCAAAGCGCGAGCCTGACAAAGGGGGGGGGGGGTCCAGCACACGAGGCGAGCCAAGCGTCAGTGGTCGATCAAAATGCACCAAGGCCAGAAGGGACGAAGGCGAAGAAGGCCCGACGTACCGCCACCAGCAGGCATCGACCGCGAGAGGTAGATGAAGAAACCAATCAGCAGAGCGTAGGGCAGCAACGACACGAGCCCGGCCGTGCTCTGGGACTTGTGGTTGTAGAGAATCTTGACACGCTGGTCGACAGGGACACCCAGGGCCTGGCGAGAGGAACAGCGGGAGGGGGAGAGCCAAAGGGTCAGAGGTCGGCCATGGTGTGGGGCGGGGGAGAGGAGGAAAGGAGAAAAGGGCCGGGCCTCCACATGGCATGGAGAGGTGCACAGGGGGTGCCCCGGTTGCCCAATTGCGTACATCCTGTTCCTCAACCAGGAGCTTCTCCAGGGTGGCCACATCCGGCGTGAAGAAGGTGGGGTAGTAGGGAAGGTCGCGCTTGATGACGGGCGGGGGGGCGGAGATCGCGGTGGTGGTGTCGCCCTCGGTGCCCTCGGCCGCAGGCTCGGCCACTTCAGCCGGCGGCAGCTCCGAGAAGGCCTCCGGCTTCAGATACACCACAACCTGGCCATTGACGTCGACGTCCATCGACTCGACAAGGCCCTTGCGCAGGTACTCCTCCTGTGTGCATGGGACCGACAAGCAGGTCAGCAAGTGGCCCCCCTCGACCGGGAGAGATATGCATGCCAGGGGAGGGGGATGTCCAGCAGTCTCCAACGGACCTTGATGTGAGCCCAGTCGCTCTTCAAATAGCGCGACTGCTTGGACACATAGCGATAGAGCAGGTACGCGACAAGGGCACCGGCCAGGTACTTCCAGAAGGGCTGATCCACCGGGTCCTGGGCCATCTTTTCGAAGTCCGTGCGAGACTTTTCCATGAAGCGGTTCAGCTCACTCTGGATGTTCTCCTCGCTCACGCGCCCGGGCCGGACACGGCCCTTGCCAACGGGGGCGTCCTCCTTCGAGGCTTCCGGGGGCGTGGCAGCGGGCTTCGAGGGATCCGGCGAAGCGTCGGCCGGCGCCGCAGCCGGGGTGTCCTTCTCGTTGTCCTTCGGGGTGGGGTCCTGTGGGATGGGGCCGCGCGGGTCAGTGGTGGCGAGGCCAAGGCAGGGGAGGAATGCCAGCAAGCCCGTGCAGGGCACCGTACCGACGGCGGAGGAGTGGGAGGGGTAGGAGTCGAGGAGTAGAACCGATAGGCCGGGTGCGAGGCAGGCGACAGGCCAGTCAGGCCAGCTAGCCGGGGAAGAGGCGCCGGCCGGGCCCGGGTCGTCTCGTCGTTGGACCGCGAGGCCAACAGCGAAAGTGAGCGCGAGAGGCAGGCGGCAGGCGCGCGGCCAAGGCCGGCGGGCCGCTGGAGGACACCGCGAAGGCTGACCCGTGCAGATGGGCATTGGTGTCAGAAGGCAGGGGGAGGAGGGGGGGGGGGAGGCGCAGGCAAACACGGGGGTACCTGCTGAGAGCCAGCGTCCTGCCCGAGAACACACGGGACTGGAGCATGGTGGGGTGGGTGTGGGGAGAGGGGGGAAGAAGGGGACCGGGGGGAGAGGGAGGGAGGAGGCGGGCGAAACAGAGGGGCTAAAAGGGGGGGGGAGGAGGGGAACTGGGCACGAGAATGCAGGGGGATGGCTGAAGGCTCGAATCGTTCGAGCCGGAAGGTCGCCAGCCCTTCTTCCCTCTCCGGCCGTTGTGGTGTCCTCCCCACAAGGGTGGCGGGGCCAGACGCGGCAGTTTCTTTGTGCTTCAACCCTGGGAGAGGGACAATCATCGGCACCTGGGTCCTGCAATGTAAGATTCCCTGTCCCCGGCCGGTGTGCCCCACACACGTTGGTGCGACCCCCCCCCCCCCCTAC